CTTTTTTAATGTAGCTACTGGAGAAGTTTTAATTACATATGTTGTTTGCCTTATATTTCTTTTGGAAAGTACTGATCTAGATCAGAAGGTTTCAAACACTGTTGCCCATGGTTCACAATAAGAAATATATTTAACATCATAACCCAGGACTCATATATGTACATGGATAGTTATAAGTGAAAGAAAAGCTTTATGAAACAATACTATGTATAATTACATGAAATGCACTGCACTCTGATATTCAGTATTTTTTTTTTTTTTTGAGACAGAGTCTCGCTTTGTTGCCTAGGCTAGAGTGAGTGCCATGGCGTCAGCCTAGCTCACAGCAACCTCCAACTCCTGGGCTCAAGCAATCCTTCTGCCTCAGCCTCCCAAGTAGCTGGGACTACAGGCATGCGCCACCATGCCCAGCTAACTTTTTCTATATATATTAGTTGGCCAATTAATTTCTTTCTATTTATAGTAGAGACAGGGTCTGGCTCTTGCTCAGGCTGGTTTCAAACTCCTGGCCTTGAGCAATCCGCCCGCCTCGGCCTCCCAGAGAGCTAGGATTACAGGCGTGAGCCACCGCGCCCAGCCCACCGCGCCCAGCCTAGTATTTTTTATTCTTGAAAATATTGAGTGTATACTATGATGGTTGCATAGGTCAGCAGATTGAATCATGAGATTTACCATTTGTCAGACATACCTGGGGAAAAAACATTGAGTGTGACCCATTAAATTGATTTTAATTTAATTAATTTCAAATTCATTTGCAGTTTGAAAATCTCAACTAGAGTAGATAGTTATTATTATAGGTATAATTAGAGAAGAATAGGTGAATAGATTCCTAAAATATTTAGGTTTTAGAGAGACACAAGAGTTTGTATTTGGATTTGGGAGATGAGGGGAAAGATTGCGTCAAAGATCATTTCCAAGTATTTGACTTGAGTGACTAAAAGGACGATGGTATAATCCCGAGAATTTAAGCTGGTTAGGGTGGAAGATTATGAATTCACTTTTCGATATGTTGAGTTTGAGGTCCCTGGAGGATGTGCCACAGGAGGTAGGCAGTAGACAGTTGCATACGTGGCTTCTTAGTAAGTAGAAAAATATGGACAGGAGATAGGAATTTGGAAATCAGCATGTAGGTGGTCACTGAAGTCATATAAATGAATAAGATTGCTCCCAGAGAGTGTAGAGAGTAAGAAATGAAGAAGATGTGCAACAGAACTGAGGAGCATCCACATTTTAAGACAAATCCAGGCTGGGCGCGGTGGCTCACGCCTGTAATCCTAGCACTTTGGGAAGCCGAGGTGGGCGGATTGCTTGTAGACAGCATTTCAAAACCAGCCTGAGGGGGCGGCGGTGGCTCCACGCTTGTATCTAGCATCTGGAGCCGAGCAGGTGGATTGCTCAAGGTCAGGAGTTCAAACCAGCCTGAGCGAGACCCTGTCTTACTATAAAAATAGAAAGAATTATGGCCAACAAATATTATATAAAATTAGCCGGCATGGTGGCGCGTGCCTGTAGTCCCAGCTACTCGGAGGCTGAGCCAGGAGGATTGCTTGAGCCAGAGTTTGGTTGCTGTGAGCTACACTGACGCCACGGCACTCACTCTAGCCTGGCAACAAAGCGAGACTCTGTCTAAAAAAAAAAAACCAGCCTGAGCAAGAGTGAGACTCCGTCTCTACTATAAATAGAAAGAATTTATTGGCCAATATATTATAGAAAAATTATCGGCATGGTGGCACATGCCTGTAGTCCCAGCTACTCAGGGAGGCAGAAGGATTGCTTAGGCCTAGGACTTTGAGGTTGCTGTGGGCTAAGCTGATGCCACAGCACTCACTCTAGCCTGGGCAACGAAGTGAGACTCTGTCTCAAAAAAAAAAAAGACAAATCCAGGGACCACTCACTCCTCTTGTTCTTCTTTTTTTTTTTTTTTTTTTTAAGCATTGTCTTCAGCACTCTTGTCTTTCTTGCTGCTGCTTTCCTCCTTCCCCTTCCTTCCTTCTTCCTTCTCCTCTCTTCTCTTCCTCCCTCCTTCCTTCCTTCCTTCCTTCCTTCCTTCCTCCCCCTTCTTCCTTCTTCTCTTCTTCTTTCTTTCTTCTTTCTTTCTTTCTTGTCTCACTCTATACCCAGGCTAGGGTGCCACAGCATCAGCCTAGCTCACAGCACCTCAAACTCCTGGGCTCAAGCAATCTTTTTGCCTCAGCCTCCCGAGTAGCTGGACTACAGGCATGGGCCCATGCCCGGCTAATTTTTCTATATATTAGTTGCACTAATTTCTTTCTATTATAGTAGAGACGGGGTCTCGCTCGCTCAGCTGGTTTGAACTCTGACTTGAGCAATCAGCCCACCTCGGCCTCTCAGGTGCTAGGATTCCAGGCACAGGTGTGAGCCACCACGCCCGGCCTCTTTTCTTTCTTTTGACAAGGGTCCAGCTACAGTGCCCAGGCTGGCCTCAGCATCCTCCTACCTCAGCCTCCTGAGTAGCTGGATTGTAGGCCGTGCACACCACATCCATTACTTGTTCTTGAAATTATTTTTCTTGGAGTCCACTTGCTCAAGGCTTCCTGGCATGGCTCTGGGTAAAAATCTTTTTATATATGAAATAAATAAATTTTTAAAATAAAAAAATATTTTCTCCTGATTTTGGAACCTAAACCTTTCCTAGTTGTCCTCCTTTCTCTGCTCTTCCTTGAATCTTCCGTTCCTATACCTCCTCTCTCTTCACTTTTATTTTTTCCAGATTTAATTTATTTTAACCTTTTTATTATATTTACAGGAACTTGCAAGACTAATACCCTCTGTTTGGCGGCTCGGTGGCTCACGCCTGTAATCCTAGCACTCTGAAGGCCAAGGCAGGTGGATCATTTGAGATCAAGAGTCCAGACCAGCCTGAGCAAGAGTGAGACCCCATCTCTACTGAAAATAAAAAAATAGCTGGCATGGTGGTGCATGCCTGTGGTCCCAGTTACTTGGGGCTGAGGCAGAGGATCACCAGAGCCCAGAAGTTTGAGGTTGCTTGAGTAGCTGCTGCCATGGCACTCTAACCCGGCAACAGAGTGAGACTCTGTCCCCCAAAAAGAATATACATAATTCCAAATACCTTCACCTACATTCCCCAAATGTTAACATTTACTACATTTACTTTATCTCTGTGTGTGTGTGTGTGTTTCTGAACTGCTAAGAGAGGTTGCAACCTCCCTTTACCCTTAATACTTCAGCAAGTCATTCTCTATATAACCATTGGACATTTCAAGTCAGTAAATAAACTTGATACTACTATTGTCTCCTCTATAGAACTTATTCAGATTTTTCCAATTGTCCAATAATAACTTTTTTTTTTTTTTTTGAGACAGAATCTCACTCTGTCGCCCAGGCTAGAGTGAGTGCCATGGCATCAGCTAGCTCACAGCAACCTCAGTCTCTGGGTTCAAGTGATCCTCCTGCTCAGCCTCCCAGGTAGCTGGGACTACAGCATGCGCCACCATGCCGGCCTCAATAATAACATTTATAGGCCACAAAATACAAGATTATGCATCGACTGCATTCAATTGTCATATCTCTATAGTTTTTGAGTTTTATTTTTGTATTTTATAACTTGACATTTCTGAAGAGCACAGGCTACTTAATTTGCAGATGTCTCAATTTGATTTGCCTTATGTTCCTCATGGATAGATTCAGGTTATGCATCTTTGGCAGGAATATTACAGGAGTGATGCTGAGTTCTTCTTGTGCATCTATTAGGAAGACATGCTATTGGTTACTCCCAGTACTGTCAATGTTAACTTTGATAATTTGTTATAGTGGTGACTACCAGCTTTGTCCACTTGAGCATATTATAGGGAGATTTTGAAACTATGTTAATATCCTATTAACTTTCACTTACTAGTTTAGCATCTATTGCTGATTTTTCTGCATCAACTATTAATATGATGTAACCAATGGTGATTTCTATCCCATTTCTTCTCACTTATTAGTTGGTTTCTAATGCAAGGAGAACGATCCCTTCTCCTATTATTTATTCAGTTAGTATATATCAGTGTGACTCATAGAATCTATCTATTCCATAAATTATAATCTGTTGCTATCATCATTTTATTTTGCTTTCAGTTTATCACAAGTTTGACCATTATGAGCTCCATCAAACTGGCTCCTGTGTATTTTTTTTTTTTTTTTGGAGGAGTCTCACTTTTTGTTGCCCAGGCTAGAGTGCCATGGTGTCAGCCTAGCTCACAGCAACCTCAATCTCCTGGGCTCAAGCAATCCTGCTGCCTCAGCCTCCTGAGTAGCTGGACTACAGGCATGGGCCACCATGCCGGCTAATTTCTTCTATTATATTAATTGGCAATTAATTTCTTTCTATTTTATGTAGAGACAGAGTCTCACTCTGCTCAGGCTGGTTTCGACTCCTGACCTCAAGCAATCCACCTGCCTGGCCTCCCAGAGTGCTAGGATTACAGGCCTGAGCCACTGCGCCTGGCCTCCTGTGTATTTTTGACGGCTCCATCATTTTTTGAGCACTTTCTTACTTTCTAGCTCAATGACACTTTGTAGGTGCTCTTGTCCTGCCTCAGACATGGAATTAGCCTTCTCCACGCAATCCTAGTTCCTTTTAATGGTATTCGAAATCAAGATCAGGGCTATGTGGGTAATTGCCTCTAGCCTTTCATGGACAGAGGAAATGCATACTTGGTACTCGAATTGAAATCATTATTCGTTAATGCAAAGTCATAAGGCACCTAGTTCAGGCTCTGTGAATGAGTTAATGCAAACAGAATATCGTTGCCCGAAATGGTACCAATTTCGTCGTTTTCAAAGGCGGTGAAGACAGCGTCCAGGTTTGCAAAGGAGAGTGGGTGCGCTTGCGTCAAGGTGCGGCCGCAAGCTCCGCCCGCACACCTGGCGGCCGGCCCGCCCCGGCCCGGTGAGGCGGGAACACCACTTCCCAGCCGCCCTGCGGGCTCTGCGCCTGCGCGCCGCCGCGAGGCGGGAGGGAGGAGGCGGGATCCCGCGCTCCGGCAGCCGCGCCGCGCCGCGCTCTCTCGGGCCATGGAAGGTCGTGGCGCCGGCGGCGGCGCCGGCAAGGCCGAGACGCCGCAGCCGCGCCGCCGCGGCCCCGGTCCCCGCCCGCGCTCACGCCCGCGCCCGCCGCCGGCGCGGAGGGCCCGGCGCCTCTGCTCGAGGTGGGGGCCCCGGGCTGCTCGGGCTCGCGGCCCCCCGAGCTGGAGCCCGAGCGCGGCCTGGGCCGCTTGCGAGGCCGCTTCGAGTACGAGGACGAGGAGTTGGAGGAAGATGAGGAGTTGGAGGAGGAGGAGGAAGAGGAGGAGGAGGAGATGAGCCACTTCTCGCTGAGGCTGGAGGGGGGCCGGCCGGACTCGGAGGACGAGGAGGAGGTATTTTCGGAGCCCCGGCGGGCGGCCGCGACCCCAGCGCGCCGGGTGGACCTCGCCCCCCTGCGCGGGCCCCGGCCCGGCCCGGTTTCCTGCCGGCTTATTTCGTGAGGCTCCTGCCTGTCACTTAGGCTCCCCGGGTCCCGCTCATTCATTCTGTGTGATTATCGAGGCTGCTGCGCGTCAGGCGGGTTAGGCGCCTAGGGTGCGGTGCCCCCGGTGTGCAGGAGCTTACGGTCAACGGGAGAAATAGCCACTTTCTACAGGGTGCCGAGAGGCGCTGACGTCCCCCACCTGCTCGGTCTCTATTGGAAACTTCTTTTCTTTCTTTCTTCCTTTTTTTTTTTTTAATGTGGTAGCACATTCTTCATCAATTTAGGTGATATATACCTAGCAAGTCAGAATTAATTTATTAAGCTTGGCCACCAGGCTGGGCGCAGTGGCTCACGCCTGTAATCTTAGCTCTTTGGGAGGCTGAGACAGCAGGATCGCTTGAGGCCAGGAGTTGGAGAGTACAGCCTGAGTACCATAGGGAGACCTGACTGTACAAAAAATACAAACATTTACTGGGTGTGGTGGCACGCGCCTGTAGTCTCAGCTACCCGGGAGGCTGAGGCAGGAGGATCACTTGAGGCCAGGAGTTGGAGATTGCAGTGAACTATGATGACGCCACTGCACTCTAGTCCAGGCCTCAGAGGGAGGCCCTATCTCGGGGGAAAAAAACCCAAAAAAACCTTGAACACCAGTATCTGGAAAGTTTGCCCATTTTGAAGTAATTCATAAAGTAACATGCATCTCATGTGGCAATAAAAGAATGAGATCCATTTGAAACATTGGTTTATATTGTGTTATTGTAACTCTCAGCAGTATTTTGAAGGGTTGGAAATATGTTTCCATGTTGCATTTAACTTGCACATTGTTTATAATGAAACTTTGGGATTAGGGTTTAAGAATTGGAAGGCAGGGACTTGTATTTTAAAACTATTTCAATTGCATTTGCAGCGCCTGATTAATCTCTCTGAGCTGACCCCGTACATCTTGTGTTCCATTTGCAAAGGTTACTTAATAGATGCAACTACCATTACAGAATGTCTTCATACCTGTAAGCATACAGTTCACATTTCTGAATATTTTTGATTTTGAAATGTCTTGAAAGCATCCTAATTTCAACATTTTCTTTTTCAACAGTTTGTAAAAGCTGCATTGTAAGACATTTTTACTATAGCAACAGATGTCCCAAATGCAACATAGTAGTACATCAAACACAACCTCTTTATAACATAAGGTAAGAGAAATATATGAGTAACAGTTGTGTTTTAAGTATGCTTTTTCTGAAAGCTTGAAGTTTAGTTGGAATAAATTCTTGACCTTCCTCAAAATTAGAAGAAAGAGAACTACATATTCTTTTGAGAAATACGTATAGAGCACTTACTATGTACCAGGCACTGTGATATCTGCTGGGGACTTAAAAATAAGAGGTACAGGCCTCTTTTCTTGAGAATTTTAATTCCATCACTCAAGTTAATGAGGCTAGTTTAGATGTGTTGCTTTCCAGTATACAGGTATTTAGGATTTTTTTTAAGAAGTAATACCTGAAACGAATGGCCTCTTTAGTAAAGCCTATCTGTCATAGGTCATTGTTGCATTTAATCACATTTTTCAGTTCATGCTCAGTTTCTTTGTTTCCTTCCTTCTTTCTTTCTCTCTTTCTCCTTCCTTCCTTTCAGACTATCCTCCATAACTATCAGTTTCTTAAGAGAATAAAGAAGAAAAATACTAAAAATAGATTACTTTCATTTATTCAAATACTATTAAGTTTTTACAACCTTCAGAGAAGAGTGCTTTGCAGACAATACACAGAAGTTCAAAATACAGTCTGTGCCCTTGGTTTCACATTCTTATGAAGGGAATAAGATTAATACACACAAAACAATTTAGTGAACCATTCAGGAATCTATGAGTACTTATAATTACATATAATTACTTGTGGTTCTCTCAGGTGAGCTAAATTTTAGGGGTTGTGAGTGCTACCTAAAAATAACTCACCTCTGAGAAAGACTGTATCCACTCTGAAGAGAAAGTACAGTAACTCACTCAGTTAACTTAGTTTACCCACTGTACGAAAATATATTTTTCTGAATTCTGAGGTATTCTCCATCCTTTCCTTTTATTAGGTTGGACCGACAGTTACAAGACATAGTGTACAAATTAGTGATCAATCTAGAGGAAAGTAAGTTTCTTTTTTTACGTAGTTGTGAATCCCAGAATCTCTGACTCTACTAGTTACATTTTAAGTGTAATTTAGTCTGTGTTTTATCATTTTTTAGGAGAAAAAAAGCAAATGCATGATTTCTATAAAGAAAGAGGTCTAGAAGTACCTAAACCTGGTAAGTTTGGGTGTATACCATAATGTATTTATAGAATTAAAGAATACTAGCAATAAAATTTGTGCCTTTTGAGGTTTTTTGGGGGATAACTGGTCATTGTATGATCAAAAGGAGATTTTGAAGGTAATGCTGTGTTTTAATCCAATCTATTTGTTCATAAGAATTAAAGAGTGTAGGCTCTGGAGCTAGGAGTTTGTCCTAGCTCTGCCACTTCATTTTAAGGTTAAAAGGTATGCTAGGTGTAGGACTTCAGAGAATTAATTCAATGTCTGTTTCTTCATCTATAAAATAGTGATAATAATATCACTTCCATCTTAAAAATTATATACATTAAGTAATACAAGCACTTAAAACAGTGCCTGGCACATAGTAACTGCTCAAACATTTGTTTTTTTATGATGATGATAATGTCTCAGAATAGAAGTCAAATAGATTTGGGTTTAAATTAATTCTTCCACTTACTCCCTGGGTGACTTTAGACAAATTGCCTAATCTCGCTAAGTCCCAGTTTCTTTATCAGTTAAAAATAAAAAAAAAATAAAAAAAAGAGTAGGAGTAATACCTATATCATGTGATTATGGTAAGGATTAAATGAGATGATGCATGTAAAGTGCTAAGCATGAGCTCTGGCATATAGTAGTGCTTATACAGGTTTATTTACAAATGTTGCTGTTCTCATGATCACTCTCTGTGGCCCTGATAAACCAACCACACATATCTGTCTTCTGTTGCAAAGTGGTCCCCAGGCTTGCTTTTAATTTTACTGGCTTTGACAGGTTAGCTGATGTTATTAAAGAAAATGAGTTATTGTATGCTTTCTGATCTTTTAAATAGTTAAGTAGTTTTTTAAATTTTTTTATTTGTTATAGTTTTAATCCCTGTATAATTATTTTTTCAAAGATTTCAATTTATGAAGTTTTTATTCTAAATTAACTTTTTTGTTTGGCTATCGAATAGCTGTTCCACAGCCAGTCCCTTCGAGCAAAGGAAGATCTAAGAAAGTCCTAGAATCAGTGTTTCGTATTCCACCTGAACTTGATATGTCTTTATTATTGGAGTTCATTGGGTGAGTACCCTAAAAATCTACCTTTTCACCTTAAAATAAAGAAATTTTAAAGTCTCAACAGTTTTGAAATCATCCTGAACTCAGGTAAAATCACATTTTTTAAAAATTATGAAGTGTTTAAGACTTAGAGTAACACAGTAACCTCTGATATTTCCATCTTCTGGCTTAAGAAATAAACTGTTGCTACTATAACTGAAGCCCTTTGCTACCTCTGAATACTACCCATCTCTCAGAGATTAATAACCACTCTCCTAAAACTAGTGTTTGTCATTCTCATATGTTTTTTCATATGGTTCCCATAAGTATATCTATTATTCCTAAGCAATATGTAGAATTTTTTTTGCCAATTAAAAAACTTTACATGGTATACCATAGTGTTTTCCAACTTGCTTTTTTCATTCAACATTGTGTGATTCATCCTGTTGAAATGTGTAGCTCTAGTTCATTCATTTTCACCATTGCCTGGTATTCCTTTAAATAAATGTATCTTTTCTTTTTTGCTATAAATGTATTTGTACGTATCTCCTTGTGTGTATGTGAGATAGTTCTCCAAAGGTGTAGATTTGCTGAGTCTTAAGATATGTTCCTCTTCAACTTTTCTCCTCTCTCCTCCCCTTTATACTTGGTTTTGCCAAATTGTAGTTAGATAGGTATCTTTCTAATTCAAATTCAGACACTGTAGCATATGATATACTCCATTATAGTGCAACATTGTTAAACAGACTAGCATGGTCACAGAGTTGGCATGTACAGACTGTAGTTTTCAAATACATCACAGAATAAACCAATGTATAATAAACTTTCTTTCCATGGAAAAACCTAGATTTCCCAGTTTGTGTTACTGATGACTATTTTACTTTCTCAATCATTTCCTCCTTATAACTCTGTCAATATAATTTATTTAGTATCTAACTTGTGCTATGTAGTATTTCTCTCTTTATATGTATTCATCTTGTATTCTCAATTGTTATTAAGAACTCTCAAGGAGACAGGAAACCTTTCTTCTCCTCTCCCCTCCCCTTCTCTCTTTTCTTTCATTTATTTTTTTTTTTGAGACAGAGTCTCACTCTGTTGCCCGGGCTAGAGTACCATGGTATCAGCCTAGCTCACAGCAACCTCAAACTCTTGGGCTCAAGCGATCCTCCTGCCTCAGCCTCCTGAGTAGCTGGGAATACAGGCATGCGCCACCATGCCCGGCTAATTTATTTATATATATATATATTTTTTTCTTCTTTTTTTATTTGTCCAATTAATTTTTTTCTATTTTTAGTAGAGACAGGGTCTCGCTCTTGCTCAGGCTGGTCTCGAACCTGGGAGCTCAATTGATCCACCCACCTCGGCCTCCCGGAGTGCTAAGATAACAGGCGAGAGCCACCACCCTCCACAGGAAACCTTTCTTATGCCTCCAAAAGCCCATGGTAGTGGTCAATGATAATGAAATAAAGATTCCTTTGGAGACATTGGAAGAAACCATGTAATGCCAAAACTTAATTCAGCAGTTTCTGTTATTAAAGAGTGTGTTACAATTTATTCCTAAGGGAATTGGTTAAATAACAGTATATCCATACACGAATATGTGTTAATACAGTAATGTGTGTGCCAATTTGGAACAATCTCCAAGATATGTTAAATGAAAAAAGCAAGGTGCAGGCCGGGTGAGGTGGCTCACGCCTATAATCCTAGCACTCTGGGAGGCCGAGATGGGCGGATTGCTCGAGGTCAGGAGTTCGAAACCAGCCTGAGCAAGAGTGAGACTCCATCTCTACCATAAATAGAAAGAAATTAATTGGCCAAATAATATATATAGAAAAAACTAGCCGAGCATGGTGCGTGCCTGTAGTCCCAGCTACTCGGAAGGCTGAGGCAGAAGGATTGCTTGAGCCCAAGAGTTTGAGGTTGCTGTGAGCTAGGCTGACGCCACGGCACTCACTCTAGCCTGGGCAACAGAGTGAGACTGTGTATCAAAAAAAACAAAAAAAAACAAAAAAAAAAAAAAACAAAAGCAAGGTGCAGAAGAGGAAGGCACATGTACCATGTTCCCACTTATGTTTTTTAAAAGAGGGTGGTGGAAAATATATGCATATACATATGCTTCTTTTTTTTTTTTTTTTTTGAGACAGAGTCTCACTCTGTTGCCCGGGCTAGAGTACCATGGTATCAGCCTAGCTCACAGCAACCTCAAACTCCTGGGCTCAAGCAATCCTCCTGCCTCAGCCTCCCGAGTAGCTGGGACTACAGGCACGAGCCACCATGCCCGGCTGATTTTTTTTTTTATATTATATATATTAGTTGGCCAATTAATTTCTTTCTATTTTTATGGTAGAGACGGGGTCTCGCTCAGGCTGGTTTTGAACTCCTGACCTTGAGCAATCCGCCCGCCTCGGCCTCCCAGAGTGCTAGGATTACAGGTGTGAGCCACCACGCCCGGCTTACATATGTTTCTTTATGGGCACAGATCATTCCTGAAAGGACATATGAGAGAATATTAATGGTGGTTGTTCCTAGGAAAGGGCACTGGAGTTTGAATCTGTGATGGGGAAAGTCTTACTTTTCATTATGTTTGAATTTTTACACATGACCATGTGACTTTCAATGACTAGTTAATTAAAATTTGAAAATTGAGAGGAATTTATATTTCTAAAAACATTATTTTGGGGAAATGTAACATTTTCCACTAATGTACAATGGGAACTTGGAATCACTTTTTTCTACCTCCTTGGAAAAGTGGCATATTGTAATGCAAGGATTGCAAATATGTGCCACCGTTTCCTTTTTCTTTACTCAAGTTATTAGCACATTCCCTGCTGTAGATGAACAAAGACTGACTTGAAATAAGATAATCTGGATTTAAGTCCTAGCTGTACTGTTTTCTAGCTTTGTAACCTTGATCAAATCATTTTTTGTTTACTCATAAGGTATATATTAAGGTCTTACTGTGTACCAGTACAACACTATATTAGGTGCTTGGAATATAGTTTGAATGAGTCAGTGTGGTGGTCCTTGTCCTGATGAACTTTCAATTTTAACTTCTTAGAGCTTTAGCTTTCATATATGTAAAATGGGAACATTGAACCTTAGACATTATTGATTATGGTGGGTATGCTGTCTACCTGATCACATAGTCCTTTTTATATTTTTATTTTTATTTCCTCCCAACTCATTATGCAAAACCTTTATATATTTTTAAATGGGTAAGGGGGAAGAAGCTTCTAGTGGCAAGGAGTCTTTATTTTTTCTTTTGAGGCAAAGTCTCACTCAGTTGCCCGGACTAGAATGCTGTGGCGTCAGCCTAGCTCACAGCAACCTCAAACTCCTGGGCTTAAGCAATCCTACTGCCTCAGCCTCCTGAGTTGCTGGGACTACAGACATGCACCACCATGCCTGGCTAATTTATACATACATACACACACACACACACACACACACACACACACACACACACACACACACTTTTAGTTGTCCAGCTAATTTCTTTCTATTTTTTTAGTGGAGACAGGGTCTCGCTCTTGCTCAGGATGGTCTAGAACTCCTGACTTTGAGCCATCCTCCCGCCTTGGCCTCCCAGAGTGCTAGGATTACAGGCGTGAGCCACCATGCCTGGCTACAAGGAGTCCTTTTGAAGTCACCAGTTCCTAGGTTTAAATCCCCAAGTTCTCACAATATGGAAAAGCTTTTGTGATGCCACAAAAAGTCAGGCTACTGGGGGTAACCCATGGGAGGCTCTTTCATAACAGGACAAGGGGCAGATGAGGACAAATTTGCTCCAGCTGTTGACCTTGCTTGAATTAGAGGAGAAAAAGCACTGAGGTAGGTTCAGCCTGTGTACAGTAATTTTTAGATTTCCTGCCTAGATTGGATATGCATGTTTTATGATCTTAAGGTAGTCTCTTATCCTTTTTGTTCTATAGTTTCTATATGTAAAGTATATCATAAAAAGATAGCTGGGCACAGTGGTGTGCACCTATAGTCCTAGTTACTTGGGAGGCTGAGGCAGGAGGATTGCTTGAGCCCAGGGGTTCAAGTCCAGCCTGAGTAACATAGCAAGACTCTGTCTCTTAAAAAAAAATCATAAAAAGAAATAAGACAGGCAATATGGTGCATAAAAAGAGCATAGTTTTTGAAGAGTCTAACTCAAGGAGTATAACCCTTAGGATGTAACTTCTCTGATCTGATCATTAGTTTTTGTATTTCTTTTTTTTTTTTTTTCTATTTTTTTGTTTTGTTTTAAGAACGTGTTCTGTAATAAGTTTTTGTATTTCTAAACTGGGGGTTATAATAGCATCTCAAAGGATTGTCATAAAACAATATGATATTTGTAACATGTCTAAACTATTACCAATATGTGAATATCAAAGTAATGCAAGGTCATTCAAAAATAAAGGTTAAAGTGATCCATGGTGCTTTAATATGTACAGCATTTGCACACTGAAGAAAATAGACTCATATGAATGTGATATTGATATGGTAAAATTTTTTTGCAATTTTAAGCTCAGTGGTGCTAAGTAAATCAAGGAGGCAGTATCCCATTGTGTGCTGCCTTAGTCCAACTAGAGTATTGTGTTCAGCTCTGGGTACCACATTTTAAGAGAGATGTTGGTAAACTAAGGTATAATAGTTAAGGTTTGAAAACATATGTGGTAGTGGAACAAAAATATTTCGTTCAAAGAAAAAAAACAATAAGTCCCTCAAGTTAGTTTTAAATCTTCAGAAGGTTACTACATAAAAGAAAAATTGCTTTGATTAACAATACCAAAAGACAGAACTATGACTACTAGGTATAAGCTACATACAAGCAAGTAATTTCTAATAACATTGTTCACAAAGAGAACGGGCTGACTTGTCAGTTAAGAAGCTCTCTCTTTATATATTTGAGCAGAAGTCAGATGTCCTTTCACCATATATTCTACAGAGATCATTGTTGTAATGAATGGGATCTTTTATAACTCTAAGATTATATTATAATCTTAGAATTGTATTTGTGTGTATAATATTTATGTATATTTTACATTTATAAATATAATTTATTCTATGTTATATTTGTAATATTTACAGTTGTATACGTGTATAAATTATATATTTATAGTGCCTAAATTATATATTTATATAGCTTTATATTTTTATTATAAAGAATACTTTGGGGCGGGAGTGGTGGCTCATGCCTGTAATCCTAGCACTCTGGAAGGCTGAGGCGGGCCAATTGCTTGAGGTCAGGAGTTCAAAACCAGCCTGAGCAAGATCGAGAGCCCATCTCTACTATAGAAAAAATTAGCCAGGCATGATGGCTCATGCCTGTAGTCCCAGCTACTTGGGAGGCTGAGGCAGGAGGATTGCTTGAGCCCAGGAGTTTGAGGTTGCTGTGAGCAAGGCTGACACCATGGCACTCACTCTAGCTTGGGCAACAAAGCGAGACTGTGTCTCCAAAAAAAAAAAAGAATACTCTGGAGATGATGCAATTATAATCTTACCTGTTCTTCACAACATGATAAGGAGAAAAGAAGATGGGCTTTGATACTAGGTATACCTGAGTTTGAATTCTAGGTTTATCGCTTAATAGCTCTGGGTCACCTGAAGCTATTATTAAACCACTTTGAGCTTAATTTTCCCCATCTGCATAATAGGGATACCAATACCTGATTTGCAGGGCATCGTGAGGCGTAAGTGAAAAACATGCACGATATATGAATACCTAATAGAATGTCTGGTATATTGTAGATTCTCAACAAAAGTTAGTGCCTCTTGTCTCCCTCATGACTTAAAAGTAATTGATTTAGATTTAATCAGTAAATCTGTTTGAGCTTCTAGGTGAAAGGCAAACTGAGTAAAATCATGCCCAGGTAATTATGCTGCAAGGAAAACAATAGGAAGTATAGCAGCCTTCTTGTAAGAAATTATATCTTGTAAAGGGAAAAAAATCACATTAATTATGATTTAAAGAAAAACAAATAAGAAATTGTACTTTAAGCTGGAAAATGTTAAAATGCTAAATAGAGGGATGGCGTGGTTGCGGAGAGAGAGGAACACTCCTACACTGCTGGTGGGACTGCAAACTAGTTCAACCTCTGTGAAAGCAATATGGAGATACCTTAAAGCGATACAAGTGAATCTACCATTTGATCCAGCAATCCCATTACTGGGCATCTACCCAAAAGATCCAATGACACTCTACAAAAAAGACATTTGCATTCGAATGTTTATAGCAGCACAATTCATAATTGCAAGGCTGTGGAAACAGCCCAAGTGCCCATCAATCCAAGAATGGATTAATAAAATGTGGTATATGTATACCACAACGGTGATATAGCACATCTTATATTTTCCTGGTTAGAGCTGGAACCCATACTACTAAGTGAAGTATCCCAAGAATGGAAAAACAAGCACCAGATATATTCTCCAGCAAACTGGTATTAACTGAGTAGCACCTAAGTGGACACATAGGTACTACAGTAATAGGGTATTGGGCAGGTGGGAGGGGGGAGGGGGGCGGGTATATACATACATAATGAGTGAGATGTGCACCATCTGGGGGATGGTCATGATGGAGACTCAGACTTTTGGGGGGAGGGAGGGAAATGGGCATTTATTGAAACCTTAAAATCTGTACCCCCAAATTATGCCAAAATAAAAAAAAATGCTAAATAGAGGGGAAATCTAAATATTAAGAATATACTTTTTTCCTGGGAATCTATTGTATAACATGGTGACCACAGTTAATAATAATGTATTGTATAACTTGAAAATTGCTAAAAGAGTAGATCGTAAGTATTCTTACTATAAAAAAAAATAAGTATGTGAGGTGATGGGTATGTTAATTTGCTTGATTTAATTATTTCTTTTATCATTTCACAATGTATACATATATCAGATATCCCATTGTACTCTATAAATATATACAACTTTTATTTGCCAGTTATACCTTAATAAAGCTGAAGAAAATAAATAAATCCGGATATGTTTTGCATCAAAAAAAAATACATGCTTTTCACTCTGAAATTAAGTATGGAAAGCATTGTAAAATACTGGATAAAACTGCCTTTGCCTTACCACTAGGTGGCAGAAACAATTACATTTATGTATTTTATAAAGGTTTAGGTATGAATTGATGTTTCTCAAATATTTATATTTATGTTATTTTTATGTTTTATTATTAAACATGTAGTTTAAAGTATTAAATATTGATTAATTTTGCTCTCATTTTTCAGTGCTAATGAAGGCACGGGACATTTTAAGGTATTTTGCTTTTATTTTTCATTCATTTCGCAAGAGGACTCTGTAGTACACAAGTTTGAGTCAGATTAGCAACCAAATGGAGATTGTCTTCAATTACAATAAAAATATTTTATAAATATAAGTTATTTAAATATGAAGCACATTTAATAGTACTCATAATAGGTTTATGAGGAAAAGTTATTAAGTAGGGATTTATTATTCAGAACAGTGGTCTGAGGAAAATTAAGTGAATGCTTTTTAAAACTCTAAAACCAAATACTGTGTTAATTTGGTCATGAAAAGTATTTTGAAGCATTTTTTTCATAGTTGGCATTTACAGTTTAATATGAGCTTAACGTTTTGTTTGCATGTAACATTTTTGACTCAAGTTAACCTGTCCTAACTTGTTACTTCAATTGTTCAGTAAGAATGAACTCCTTTGTAACATATTTAAGTTCAAAGTTGTTTTAAAGGCTCCAAAATCACAGGTGCCATTGTATATAGCATTGCTGTTGATACTATAGTATGAGTCATTCAGGGAAAGGTAACTTAAAAGGGATAAATCAGGCTTTATAGGTGGAATTGTGAATATTTAAGAAATAGGTGACTTTATTTAGATTTTCTGTGACTTTGTCAAAGTCTCTACTAAAAATTGGGTATCTTATACCTGGTTGGATAGACTGTACTGTTTTGCTTTGTGAGCACACTAGCTTAGACATGTAAATTAAAGCATAGCAATAGATAGATACTTCTCTGGATTCAGTATATTATTCATGTTTCTCTGAGATCAGTGTGATAGAGGGAATGCAGAGTTAAGTCCTCATGATTTTTGGTAACTTTGAGCCTCGTCTAAGTTGTAAAATGTCAAGCTAATGGTGATTTAACTTGAGGAAATTGTTTCAGAGCAGTGTGGTGGGTGGGAGAATGGCAGATAAGTTTCTGTACAGTTCAAGCACAGAATTATGTGCTTTGAGTGTTCCCTGAAGACATCTGTCCAGTGAACTGTGGTAGCCAGACTGGCCAAAAACCTCATGAAGAAAGAACTAGAGAATGAACAGAGATATTAGACTACAGTTGCTGCAAAAGCACCTGTGCACTTAGAATATTTGTATATTAGTAGTTCTGATCTTCACATACCAAAAAATCTATGATGACAATACCATCTGTGAATTGTTCTTGCCAAAACAAATGTGAAGGTGATCATGTTTCTAGATTTAATTACTAATTTATAGGAAATACCAAGGACAAAGGAACATGTTAAATGACACTGTGGGAATATAATAAGCCAAATCAAGACAGTGGAAAGCTACATGGCAACCAATTCTGTTTCTTCAGCAAATAAATTAAAAAGGAAAGAGATGAAGAAGGAGCCTATATATGGGACTTGTTGATTAAAATATTTCAAGGGACATATAAATTAATTGCAATGTATGAAGCTTATTTGGATTTGATTTGAAAAACTGGGGAAAAAAAGGAAACACCATAACATTTTTTGAGATAAAAATCCTAAATTGGAAACAACCCAAATATCCATTAACTGATGAATGGATAAATAAAATGTTGTATTTTCATTGAAAGCATTATGCTAAGTGGAAGAAGCCAGCCACAAAAGGCCATCCATACATTATATGATTCCATTTATGTGAAGCAGGGAAATCCATAGAAACATAAAGTAGATGGATGGTTGCCAGAGGTTGGGGGAGCGATGAAATGGGGAGTGACTTTTAATTGGTACAGGTTTCTTTTTGGGGTGATGAAAATGTTCTGAAATTAGATAGTGGTGATAGTTGCACAACTTGTAAATATACTAAAATTCATTGAATTGTACACTTTTAAAGGGTGAATTTAATAGTAAATTATATCTCAATAAAGTTGTTGATTTTTTTTTTTTAAATGACTAAGCCAAGCTGGACATGGTGGGGTGTGCCTATAATCCCAGCTACTGGGGAGGCTAAGGTTGGAGGATCACTTGAGCCCAGGATTTCAAGTCCAGCCTGGGCAACATGGCAAGACCCCATCTCTTAAGGAAAAAAAAAAGAAAAAACTAAGCCAATAGAAACTTAGAATAGAAGCATTGTCTATAATTTGCTTGGTGTAAATGTTTTGCGAATACAAAAATGTAACTGGTAGATAACATATGTATAAGTTAGATTTTAATTTGAGTCTATCACTGATTATTCACTCATTTATTCATTTAGAGACAGGGTCTTGCTCTGTCACCCACGCTGAAGTGCAGTGGTGTAATCATAGCTCACTTCAGTCTCAAACTTTTGGGCTCAAGTAGCTGGAACTATAGGCACGTACCACCATCCCTGGCTAATTTTTAAATTTTTTGTATAGGCAAAGTCTCACTATGTTGCCCAGGCTAGTCTGGAGCTCCTGGGCTCAAGTGGTCCTCCCTCATTGGCCTTCCAAAGTGCTGGGATTACAGGCGTGAGCCACTGTGCCTGGCCTTCACTGTTTCTTAAAATGCTGTTTTTATACTTTTATATATCTGTGAGTTCAGATTAAACCCTGCTCACTAGAATGATGCCCAGTTGTTAAACTTTTCACCGTGTAGACCTGTGGCATGAAACTTACAAGTTCTATTTGCTACATTTAACTTAAAAGTGTTTCACAAAATGGTAATAATATGATCCAAAATCATTTTCCTAGGAAAATTTCCTTTTTTTTTTCTTTTTTACTGTTTTACTATGGAAAATTTTTAACATACTGAAAAGTAAACAGAATGAACTTCCATGTAACCATCATTAGCTTTACCAATTGCTAGTGGCCAATTTTATTTCTTCTATTCCCCATCTACTTACCTCTCTTCTGATATTATTTTGAAACAAATCACCAGCAGTATCCTACTTTATCTTTAAATATTTCAGTATTCTTAAAGGATGAGTCTCTCTCTTTTTTTTAATAACCAAATGACCATGTAGCATATCTTAAAAAGTCACTAAATGGCAGCCTCATGAAAGATAAAAATAAGTTGGCAGAACTATTCTGGACTAAAGGAGATTACAGGGGCATGATAACCAAATGTACTGTGTGACCCTTCTTTACAGCCTATGAAATAAGAACAATTTATATAGGACATTGTTAGAACAATTGAAGTAATTTGAAATTTGGAATTAATTTAGATAATTATCAATACATTGTATTAATGTTAAATTTCCTGAATACTTCTATAAGTTTCCTGATAATTATGTAGTAGTTATGTAGGAGAATTTCTTATTTAGGGAAGATAACTGCTGATATATTTCAGGTAAAATATTTCATTGTCTGTAAGTAACTGTCAAGTTGTCCAAGAAAAAACACATACCCATATATACCCATACATAGGAAGAGATAAAGCAAATATAATAATATATTAACAGTTGCTAAACTAAGTAAAGGGCATCAGAGTGTTCATTGTACAATTCTTACAACTACTTTGTGAGTTTGTTATTTTTCAAAAGGTTGGGATGGGGAATGAAAAAAATGAATAAGTTTTTTATTATCAAATGTTTGGTTAGTGTTCAAAATCTTTTTTTTTTTTTTTTTTTGAGACAGAGTCTCGCTTTGTTGCCCAGGCTAGAGTGAGTGCCGTGGCGTCAGCCTAGCTCACAGCAACCTCAAACTCCTGGGCTCGAGTGATCCTTCTGCCTCAGCCTCCCGGGTAGCTGGGACTACAGGCATGAGCCACCATGCCCGGCTAATTAAACAAAGACATAACAGTCGGCCAATTAATTTCTTTCTATTTATAGTAGAGACGGAGTCTCACTCTTGCTCAGGCTGGTTTTGAACTCCTGACCTTGAGCAATCCGCCCGCCTCGGCCTCCCAAGAGCTAGGATTACAGGCGTGAGCCACAGCGCCCCATTTTAATCACCTTAATTGTAGGGCACTTAAAAATGTATCTGATCAGCCATGGAATAGTGTGGGGTTTTTTTTTAAACACTTTAAGTCAGGATCCAAATAAAGTTCACACATTGCTATTTGTTGATCGTCAAATTTCTTCTTTTTTTTTTTAATAATTTATTGTTGCCAAAACAGAATCACTTGTCTTGTAGTTTCCTACAGATTGAGTTTTGATGTTGCATCTCTGTGAAATAATTTAATATATTCTTTTGTCTTCTCTCTTTGTCATAAACTGGTAGTTAAATATAAGTGTTGGTCAGAGAGGTTTGATTAAAGGGGAACTAGAACACATCATAAATGGGGTTTTCATTCATCAGGAGGCATATAATGTCTTTGTCTGTGTCTCTCTGTAATGTTAGCAGCCAATGCTCCTCAGTTGTCTATCTAATTTACTAGAGGTTGAAAAATAATGCTATCATTCCTTCTTTTATTAGGTGAAATAGTTTTATAAGGAGAAACTTCCCTTTGTCTATTTGGTTACCCAGTGGAATGGTTCACGTACTGTACCAGTGGTACATTAAAAGCAGGATAAATGCTGATTCTTTCCCTTTATCAAGTTCAAAATGATGATTTGGTTCACTAGCATACTCCAGTCATGGTCAATTAGGTTTTTAGGGTTTTTTTTTTTCTACTTTATTATGTGGATTTAAACACAATGTGTAATCTATTTCGGTTACTATCTGTATTGATGTTCAAATTATCCTCTCTTGTCATAGTCTATGATAGCTGCCTGGCTAGACTATGACAAGATACAATATGCCATAATAAGATGAAAGATAAGATATTCTGGGCTTATCTTGTATGTCTCTTGCCCCAGATATGCAATCAGTCATTTCTTCAAGGGGTCCTAGTTCCTTTTGGTAGCCATTGGTATTTCAGAATCATAATGTGGTTTGCCTTGGGTTAGTCACTGTTTCTAGGCCTTTTCACTTGACAGAGGTAGGAATATTTTTCAAGGTAAAATATATCATGTGTTAATACTATCTTTTTATTGAAAATTAATAAAAAAAAAATCTCCACAGATCTTAGACTAGCTTACTTCAAAACATCCTTATCAAATTAACCTTTTGTGTTACAGACAGCAGGAAAGATTGCCATACTTAATTTTTATTTTTAATTTTTTTATTTATTTTTTATTTTTTTTTTGAGACAGAGTCTCACTTTATTGCCCAGGCTAGAGTGAGTGCCATGGCATCAGCCTAGCTCACAGCACCCTCAATCTCCTGGCTCAAGTGATCCTCCTGCCTCAGCCTCCCAAGTAGCTGGGACTACAGGCATGCGCCACCATGCCCGGCTAATTTTTTGTATATATATTTTTTAGTTGATCAATTAATTTCTTTCTATTTTTAGTAGAGACAGGGTCTTGCTCAGGCTGATTTCGAACTCCTGACCTCGAGCAATCCGCCCACCTCGGCCTCCCAGAGTGCTAGGATTACAGGCATGAGCCACCACGCCCGGCCCATACTTAATTTTTAAAACGTTGGGATCTGGAATTTATTTTTCTGTTTATTTGCATATAGTAGGAGGCTATTAGATATCATGGAAAAAATCACAAGTTGACCATCTAGCTGAGAACTGATGTTGTAGCCTTAATTTAAAAAAATCTTCTAAAAAACTGGGTCTGAATTATATGGGGGAAAAACACCCTGTTAATTTGTGAGTATGAATTATGAGGACTCAGGTTAACCATGTGAGAAACCTAGTTGAAAGCCAAGACAAATTCTTTTTCCTTTTACATATTGGAATACCTTATAATTCTGTTTTCAGTGATTTAAGACTTACACTATTGATAATGTTAGCTATATTGGATTAATTTAAGAAACGGTTGGAGTGAGGTACCCACCAAGAATTTAGAAATGAGGGAAATTGGATTATTTTCTGATAATATACTTGAAGCCTGCCATTAAGATGGTAAACTCCAGGAACTGATTTTCAGAAATGCACGGATAGGCAAGCAGGCTGGCATCTACTTAGGTTATCCAAAATAGCAGCTTCTCAAGGCTCCCGATGGGATTCTCATGCTAATTAGGCAGTGCCACTTGCAGTGAGGTACCTTCTGGGGCCTCCAATGGGGCACTGCTCTATTTCCTCATTAGTGAGATTGCCTTCCTTTGTGAGGTATTTATTCCTTTACCCTCATTGAAAGAATGTGAGAACTTTGCAATTTTTGTCTAGATTGTAGGAATGATCATGCCACTGCATTGCAGCCTGAGTGACAGAGAAAGACCGTGTTTCAAAAAAAAATTGTCAACATACTTTTCAGAAAGGGGAAGCTAAGCAGAATTTCTGTTTCTCTTCTTTGATATGTAAATTAATAACTCAAATTTCATACTAAATTTTTTAAGAGTCTATTGAATCATCTTTGCTATAAAATTTGCTTTAATGTTTTTGTGTTTTATGTATATACATATATATTTATTCTGAAAATGGTTTTTGTATTTATTTTTGTAGCCATTGGAAAAGAAGTTTGTTCGAGTTTCTGGAGAAGCAACCATTGGGCATGTAGAAAAATTCCTCAGAAGAAAAATGGGGCTTGATCCAGCCTGTCAGGTACAGTACAAGTATGTAAAAGGATAGATAAGTTGTGAGGCTACCTTTAATTTTGAAAAAAGAACTGCCTCTAGGATTTCATGCAGTAGCTTTTGTGTTACAATGTTGGAGACATTGTAATTGTTAATTGAATATTGATACACAGTGATTCACACTCCCAACTTTAATCACATATGATTTAGTATAACAAGAAAGCTCATGAAACCTAGAAAATGAAATATCTATCTAATATAGAGATCCTGTAGTTCTAGTTATGTGGTCTACTTAGTGAAAATAAACATTTATATAGTTTTTTTTTTTTTTTTTTTAAGACAGAGTCTCACTTTGTTGCCCAGGCTAGAGTGCTGTGGCATCAGCCTAGCTCACAGCAACCTCAATCTCCTGGGCTCAAGGGATCCTTCTGCCTCAGCCTACCAAGTAGCTGGGACTACAGGCATGTGCCACCATGCCCGGCTAATTTTTTCTATATATATTAGTTGTCCAATTAATTTCTTTCTATTTATAGTAGAGACAGGGGTCTCGCTCTTGCTCAGGCTGGTTTCGAACTCCTGACCTCAAGCAATCCACCTGCCTCGGCCTCCCAGAGTGCTAGGATTACAGGCGTGAGCTACCGCTCCCGGGCCAATATCACCTATTATTTCTAAAGCAGAAGTCAGAAGTCTTGTACTTGATTATATAGAATATCTAAGAAATGATACCCAGAAGGGCCCTCTTTAGGATATGGATTACTTTCTCTGTGGCTAGATTTTGATCAAAGCACAATTACCATTTATAAGTGTCACATTTGATGATTTAAGAGATTTGATTGCCAAAGCTCTAAGTTCGTTTATTTGGGTTTTTCCCCAATTTAATTATTTTTTTTTTTTTTCTTTTTAACCACTAGACCACCAGGGACCAATTTAATTATTTTTTAATTGATAAAATTTGTTTATATTTATCACAACATGATGTTTTGAAATATGTAGACATTGTGGAATGGCTAAATTGAGCTAATATAGCACACCTCACATACTTACATTTTGGGGTGAGAACATTTACAATTTCTACTCAGCAATTTTCAAAAATACAATATATTATTAACTGTAGTCACCACGTTGTATAATAGATCACTTCTAAGTTGATTTTGTTATGTAAAAATGTGGGTTTCTTTTTTGCTTATATCATAGAATTTAAGGCTTTAAGCATTTTGAAATAAAATGAAATAAAATTTCAACCTTTAATTTTCTCTGTCAGGTCTTGGCTCTCAAAGTAAATATTCTTCTACTACTCAGCTACTGTATAGCTAGTGATTTTCATAAATTATTTTACCAAAATGTTAAAATAATGGAACAGAGAATTATCAAATATGCAAACCCATTAATTTGTGACTAAAGTTGTTAAAGCCTACCAAATCTAAGAGTAGTAATTCAGAGTTACTTTGAATATGAACAAAACATTTAGCTGGTTAATCAGTAATCAGAATAAAATTCTTGGTGTCCCTTAGTCACTTGAGCTTGCTTTGCACTGACTTTTCTTTAAACCAGTTAGTCCCAAATAGGAAATGTATGCTTTGTTTACAGATGTGTGACCTTCATATATGGTCATTGACTAGCAGGATGAATAATTACTAGAGGACTGTTAAATGGCAAACTACCTTTAAAATTATTTGTGGCAGATCAAAATAAAGAAGACAATTCTGGGCCGGGCGCAGTGGCTCATGCCTGTAATCCTAGCACTCTGGGAGGCTGAGGCAGGTGGATTGCTCGAGGTCAGGAGTTCAAAACCAGCCTGAGCAAGATCGAGACTCTGTCTCTACTATAAATAGAAAGAAATTAATTGGCCAACTAATATATATAGAAAAAATTAGCTGGACATGGTGGCGCATGCCTGTACGCCCAGGTACTTGGGAGGCTAAAGCAGTAGGATTGCTTGAGCCCAGGAGTTTGAGGTTGCTGTGAGCTAGGCTGACCCCACAGCACTCACTCTAGCCTGAGCAACAAAGCGAGACTCTGTCTCAAAAAAAAAAAATTCTGAATGATTAAAAATACAGATCATGTGCTTTGGGACTACAGGCACAAGACACCATGTCTAGCTAATTTTTTCTATTTTTAATTTTATTTTTTTCTATTTTTACTAGAGACAGGATCCTGCTCTTGCTAAGGCTGGTCTCGAACTCCTGACCTCAAGTGATCCTCCCACCTCGCCTCCCATCTCTGCCTCCCAGCATGCTAGGATTGTAGGTATGAGCCACCATGCCCAGCCAGATCATGTGTTCTTTAGAGAGATTTAAGTTGATTCAAAATTCAGAGATCAGGCCGGGGGCCGGGCGCAGTGGCTCATGCCTGTAATCCTAGCACTCTGGGAGGCCGAGGTGGGTGGCAGATTGCTCAAGGTCAGGAGTTCGAAACCAACTTGAGCAAGAGCGAGACCCCATCTCTACTGTAAATAGAAAGAAATTAATTGGACAACTAACATATATATAGAAAAAGTTAGCCGGACATAGTGGCACATGCCTGTAGTCCCAGCTACTTGGGAGGCCGAGGCAGTAGGATTGCTTGAGCCCAGGAGTTTGAGGTTGCTGTGAGCTAGGCTGACCCCACGGCACTCATTCTAGCCTGGGCAACAAAGCGAGACTCTGTCTCAAAAAAAAAAAAAAATTCAGAGATGAATAATTATCTGAATAGAGTTCTTTCATATAGACACTCCAGTGTGTCTGAATTACAATGGTTGACTTAGTGGTGTTCTTAACTCATTGATGTCTTATATTTCTTTTTGTAAAGAGTTACTCCTGTGTTTCTTTGTATATCATTTGATATTCAGACCTTATTTTGCTTTTATGAAATGAAATTTAGAAAATATACATATAACATCGATCACCAAAATTCTTCGTATAAAAGATATATTAGATTTTCTTATTAATCCTACCATAACTAATTTTATCTTAAAAGATAGATTCTTTAGTATTATTACTTATTTGCAGTATGACCTTAAGCCTTCCATTAAATTCAGTTACAAATAATTTTTTAAAAAGACTAATGTATTATATGCTATATCCCTACCATTCATTTATTATCTTTCTTTCTTTTTTCTTTTCCCCCTTTAACAGACAGGCTCTCACTCTGTCACCCAGGTTGTAACTCCTGGGCTCCAAAGCAATTCTCCTGCTTCAGACTCCTGAGTCATTAGGACTGCAAGTGTATACCACCACTCCTGGCTTTCTTTTTTTTTTTTTAGAGAGACAGGATCTCACAATGTTGCCCAGGCTGGTCTCAAACTCCTGCCTTCAAGTGATCTTCCTGCCTTCAAGTGATCTTCCTAGCTAGAATTGCAGACATGAGCTACCTTGCCTGGCCTATTATCTATTGGCACTAAATCCAGCATTTGTGTAATTGGCCTTAGGAGTATGAAGATGAGACAAAGATCATGTCATCAGGGGATTCAGTTGTGTGGGAAAGATATACAAGTAAACAACTAACTGACAGTAGGATGTGATGAATGCAACAATAGAGATAACACAAGAGTGAATGATTTAACTCTGGAATAGATTTGAGGAATGGATAGGAATTTGTCAAACAGACAAAAAGAGAACTTATCTGGGAGGCCACGACGGGAGGATCGCTCAAGGTCAGGAATTCAAAACCAGCCTGAGCAAGAGGGAGACCCCATCTCTACTAAAAATAGAAAGAAATTAATCGGACAACTAAACATATATAGAAAAAATTAGCCACGCATGGTGGCGCATACCTGTAGTCCCAGCTACTCAGGAGGCTGAGGCAGAAGGATTGTTTGAGCCCAGGAGTTTGAGGTTGTTGTGAGCTAGGCTGGCACCACGGCACTCTAGCCTGGGCAACAGAGTGAGACTCTGTCTCAAAAAAAGAAAAAAAAAAACTTAGTAGCAAAGGAAAAGAGTATATATGAACAAAAAACCTAATAGCAAAATTTAGTCGTTTTTATAAACTACTTTTTATAAACCACATTGGCTTATAAAAACACTTTGAGTGAAAAATCCTATCTTGGAAGCTCAGGGTAATCTTGATAAAAAAAAAAAAATATATATATATATATATGGGCTTTTAAGAAGATAAGGGCTCTTCCTGTCTTCATAAGACTGCCTTCACAGTCTGATTTCTGCTTTGAGATTCAGAAAATATTGTTACCCTCTGTAAGACTTGCTATTCTAAAGAGTAGGGAGATTATGCACAAAAGTATTAACATAGCGGGTTGGAGCCTGCTGTCTTTACAAGGGTCTGTTTACATGGTTGGCCCTTGGCTGTCTAGGAACTTGGCTTGCAGGAAGTTCTTGCAGGAAGTTCTCTACACTAATATGAAAAGTTCCCTAACTGATAAAGGTGTTTCACTTTGCCTAGACTGTACAAAAAATGGGCCTATGATAAATACCTGCCAGGAGTCTGGAATTCGGTAGTTGCTAGGCAGAGAATACCAACATGACCAACCCTCAGTAAAATCCCTAAACTCTGAGCATCAGACAGGCTTCCCCAGCAGAAACAGCACATTTTGGCTACATTTTTGCTGCTAGAGAAAGGAGTAAGCTGGGTGTATCTCCTTCTGTCCAGGAAGGGGAAAGCATATAAAGTCTGTGCATGGATTTTTCCAGACTCTGTCTTTTCCCCTTAGTGGTCTGGCTGTGACACTATAATATATCATAGCTGTGTTTACACTGAATCTTGTGATCCTTCTAGTGAATTACCAAACGTGAATTATCTGGAGAACCTTCAAACCAAAGAACTAACTTTCTGTTTGAATGAAGTAATTTATGAAATATTTATATTGAGGTAGCTTTTAAAAATCCTCATGTAAGATTAGAAACAATTTAAATATTTATCAGGGGAATGGATATATAAATTACACATTGACACAATGGAACACTATTACTATACACTATATACTGCAATTACTATACGCTCTAAAATATGTCCATGGTTTACTAAGGTTTTGGGATTTTTAAAAAAGAATTGATAAGACAGTATATGTGGCATAATCCCATTTTTGTAAAAACAAAA